TAACAGGGTGAACAATGACAAAGGAATACTTTTGTCACAGCTCATTTGAACAGCCTTTGAATTGCTTGAGACTGAATGATTTGTGACTGGACTTGTGATGGACTTTAAAACAGGGACTTGCAGGGACTTGAGATTGACTCAAATACAACACTGCCACTTGATAACTTCCTACTCCTAGCCACACTAAGTTTAACTAACTCATGTAGGCCTACATGTATGTTGTGCTGAAAAAAAACTAGCAATTCTGACCTAAACCTTCTCAAAGTTTTACAGGAACATGCACAATAAACCAAATGGACATCTGCTTCAGCCATGCTCAACTAAAAAAAGGGCTGCTTACAAAAATAGAAATAATTGAAATACTAACAACCCCACTGCAACTTTTGAAAGCAGCCCATCAACAATTCCCTCAACCCCAAGGTAAACACTCTGGGATAACCTCTTGTACGCCTGCCATGTACCCATGGGCAGGTCAAAAGTCCAGCAAGTGTTTTTGCATGCCCACAGCAGCGGGCTTAGATGCCAAAGCATGTCAAGCTGGCTCTGTGTTGGGGGGAAAATATATGCATACATTGTACATTAGCAAATGATATCGCTGAAGCGTGGTATTTGAAGAAAATGGAAATAAGTGCTGTGTGATCTTTGTTGAGCTGCAGCCCTGCCACTAGCTGTGGACATTATGTGGGGGGGGGACACAGTTCCAGCGAGGGAAGGGGGGACAGATCACAAGAACAATGATTTGAATACTCATGTTTTTTGCTGACAAGGGCCAGCTCTTGCCAGGGTGCCCCTTGACAACAAGCCTGTTGAGTGGGATGCTTATTGGTGAAATCCAGCCAATTCTTGACACAATCTGCAACAACACTTCACCGGTTCCACAATTTTCTACATCCCTCGGACACGTTTTCCCATCTGCAGCAAATTTTTTGGAATGGAAAATTTCAACCTGTTTCCAGGCTGGCAGGATGTCAACTAGACTTGACCAGTGACCATGTAATGTATGCCAGTCTGGATCTGATGCTAGCCAGTTTCCAATTTTTCTTTTTTTTTTCTCTTTTTTTTTTTCCTTTTTTTCCTCCTGCCAGTTTTGCAGGTGTCTCCGAGGAGCCATTGGGTGGATAGTTGCTTAATCTCCACAGGGACATGATTGGCCTTTTGCTCCTTTGGAATCCAGCCTGTGAATTTTTTTTTCCTCAGAGCACGAGCTTGCCCACCTGTCTTCTTCACAGGGAGGGGATAGTCTTGATTCAAGTCCAACTTTTGGTCTGCGCTCTAGCACAGAAGCAAAAAAACACAAAACACACGCAGCTCGGCAAGTGCATCGCATCCCCGGAGTGAACATTCCAGGGCAGTAGGCACGTCCATTCACCAGATTAGAGCACAAGCAACAGGACGAACGATGCTCAAGGGATGCTTTTGTTTTGTCATTTTTTGCTTGAATAGCTTGTGACTTTGCTCTAAACTGGATAACTTGTGATGGACTTGCAGAGACTTTTGCAAACTTGTGATCAACTGACTCCAGCCCTGGTGCACTCACTGTCTTAACCCTAACCATCCTCAATCCTTCAAAATCCTAAAGGCTGTTTTGGAGGAGTTTGGAGGATTGAGGCTATATGGCAAAATTACATTGCTGATTGTGAAGGATGCACAGTCTCAAGGTTGTGGGTCAGACCTTATGTTGTGCACATTTACCCCAGTATGTTCAGCAATGCATAAAATTCATGCCCGAATTATACATGTACCCAAATCCTCCATACTGCTCCAGGATACAACTCACAATGCCTCAACATAATGAGAGGAACTGCCGCAGGACTTTGAAGGATTGAGGCAGTATCCATTTTTTTTTTCAAGAGGCAGATTGAGAGTGTATCCAAGCCAAAAGGGCCTTAGGCGGTTTGGGTTAATCTGCACTCATTCAAGTGTAAAGAAGGAGTTTGTGGGATCGAGCAAGGCAGAACCCAGCCACCAGCAACCTTACTTAGGGCTTGAAGCACCTTGAATTTGAAAAGCACATCAGGTACATGTATGTCATACGGTAGGTTTCCTACAGGGCTGAGCATTTTAGATGATTCAGGTTAATCTCCGGCAAAAATGGACAAAGTTAATGGATATCCATTCAATTGATCAATGTAGGGAAAAAAGACTGAAACAAACTTTACACAGTAAAAGTAGACGTTACGGAGGAGCTATAATCCTCGTCTGTTATTTCTACTTGAGCACCATGCACAAGTGAGTGGACTTTTGAAGGATTATTCAAAATACATGAAAGCTAGCATAGAAAGGCTAAACTGAGAGAGTCATTGATTTCTTGGTGCTAATGACATACAAATGTACACTGTGGACGACTGTGCCTACACACACATGCTGTGCGTGCTGTTTCTGCAAACATCTAGTCTAAGAGGTGTATCTGCTTGGTGCACATTTCTGCATGAAAGATTTGACATTCCCTGGAGCCCTCTATCGGATGGTAAGAAACCTACATTTGGCATTTCGCTGAGGCCCATTCATTTCCTGTGCAAGTCGGTTGAGAGAAACTCTGACTGGTACATGTAACTCATCTTTTCCTCATATGAGCAATGTAGTATTGTACACCTTTCTCCTGGGCTTGGTAATACCAGTGGTGAGCAAAACGGCAGTTTGTTTTTGTTTTTTTACCTCAACAGCAAACCATGTGACACGCCTGACTAGTTCAAATGGGTCATGCTATTTAGTGTCAACGAGCGTCAACAAAGCATCAACAAGTTATTCAAGCATAGTTATGCAAAAATTTTTGTTTACAATGTTAATTACGGTAGGCTCCTACGGTACATATCAAATTCAATGTGTCATATCTATCTGAAATGATATTTGAGCGTTGAAATTTGAGTGAAAAGTCCAGCCTGTTTGTGCAGAAGGCAGAGGAAAGAAAGATGGTGGTCCCCATACATCACGAAAAACTTTTGTTTTCCAGTGAGACTCTGGAAGCAAATTCGGTGTTCAAATTCGCTTTGATGACGTTACTTACACACTTTGTCGATGCTAAATAGCATGACCATTCAACTGGTTCTCTGTCCACGTGAACTTAGGCACATACCAAATTCCACTTGTTTTGCTGCTTAGTTTGACATTGAGAAAGCAGTCTCAAAATGCCTAATTACTATTACATCACACGTAGATCCTCTTCACCTTTGTTTCCAACATGTCATAAGAAAACCTTATTTTGAAAGCAAGTTCCCAGTCTGTGTAGAATGTACATGTATGTGCCCTAAACAACATCTATCCAGTGTTGTAGTCGAGTACTTTTTCCGAGTACCAAGTACTGCCGAGTAATTTGACTGCCGAATACAAAGACAGGTCGAGTACTTTGCCAGCCGAGTACAAGTACTGGTTTCCGAGTACAAGTACTTGCACTTCCAAGTACGAGTACAAGTACTTCTAATTCAAAAGTAGTTTTATCTTAATTTAGAGACTCTAAGACCTGCCACTGTGTAAAAGAAACACCTAATGCAGATGACATGGCTACAAGAACAAGTGATCTGGCTAGCAATGTCACGGTCACTACACGTGCATTGCAGCAGTTGACACAACGTGCACAGCGCGGCGAAGTCTGTTCTCCAGGCTCAATTATTCACATGCCTGTGATTTTCTGTATGCTGGGTTCATCGTTAGAATTTTCAGGTCCAGGAACCAGACTACCAATGCCCAAGTAAATCGCGGGACCATTCTGGAATACCACAATATAATTTGCGTACGTGATTGGTTAAGTACGCGCACAGACGGCGAATGGGTCATATAAGTTAATGGTCCCACATTCGGCCTTCTCTTTGTCAGAACTGTATCAAATATCGGGTCATTAGGTTCGATATTTTTGTACCATATTTTAACAGCCGTGGTAAGTTAACTTAAAGGATTTTTTTATCACGTACGAGTACTTTGATGATCCAGTACAATTTTTGGATGTCGAGTGTTTTGTAGCCCGAGTACAAGAACTGTAGTTCGAGTACAAGTACTTTGACGTCCAAGTACAAGTACGAGTATTATGAAAACGGTAGTCGAGCAGTACTCGAGTACCGAGTACGAGTACTACAACTTTGCATCTATCCACATGTACATGTACATGTATACATGTAAATGTACATGTATGTGCCTGTATGAACATACATGTACATGTACCATTTCAAAGTGAACACATGCACCATTTCTATTAGTACTAAATATTCATTTCATTACCTACGGTACATGTATAGACTCTTTACAGCTGGTACTCGGTAATGGATCCGTTGACAAAGCATGGAAGCATTGCAAATGTGAAGTGCAATCCCTCTATTGTTACTCCAATTTTGGTAATTCAACACACATTACAGAGAGTGTTTCAGTTGAGTCAGTGTTCTGATGAAGAGAAGCCGGTACATGTATGATACATATACATCGATGAGAGTGATCAGGCAATCCGAACTACTGCTAACTCCTGTGCTACTGGTCAATCTTGTGGCACAATCTGTCAATATTTCCACTGTTAGCCAATCCCCATTTTCTAATTCCTGGCCAATTAAAAAGAAGTAACATCTGAGACTTCCTACCGGTACATGATCAACAGATGGTACAGAGCAATTGACCATGTACTTGTATGCAGAAATACTGACCAATCACACTTGGTCACACACTGGCCATTCATCAAATATAAAAATGTAAATTGCATTTTAAAGGCCCAATTCTCTGTGATGACCTGTGTATCTGTAGCTAATACGAGAGTACTGTACATGTATGCACCGACTGTAAAACTACGCGAGTATGTCACACAAATGCCATATGTTAACTTGTAACCTAATGTTCCAGAGACAAACACCTGTTCCCATTCATTATAAATGTTCCAACATGACGGCATACTTTTCAATCCCAAATAAGTTACAAGTGTACATGTAAGTGAATATCAATGGTTGGTCATGATGGAGATTTACATGTACATGTCCAGTGTACAACTGCCATGTCAAGCAGTAGTGTGCAGCGAGCTGGCACCTTACCTGCGTGCGTGGCGTGGGCCCTCTTGATGCGCTCAATCGCTGCCGCTGTCTCATAGGGTACAGAGACGTACTGTACCTCGCGACTGTGTTCAGAGCCAACTCCCAGGGAGGTTTCTCAACGTCCAAATTTTCACAAGCCACGCAAATTTACCGGTAGGTTCCCATATCATGTGCACAAAAACACATAGGGGTCTAGCATGAAACATCCCACATGTTCCACCAAATCAAACTAAGTTGTTCACCAGAGAAGGGAGTTTCCAAATCTGCTGGAGGGTCCAACATGGACAACTTGGATGTCGGTATACATGCGGAGGCATCACATTCACAGGGTATGCATATACTGAATCCACACCACATCCAGATAGTGGTCCAAAGTGTACTACATGGCAAATGCTTAAACACAACACCCAGAGTCCTGTTTGCCACATGCATAGGCGACTCACTGTCTCTCTCCACTAGAAACTGAGATTCCTCAGAGCTGACTGTACAGTTTGTTATTCATCTCCCCCAGTGTAGGCAGCAACAAAGCAGAGATCATGCACTGCTCAGTTGAGTAGTAAACGGTGACTGGCTGACCTGGGTGGATTGGCTCCGTGGTGAAACAGAATGAGAGCTTTACCAAAGAGGCCACGAAGGGCTGAACAACTTGTGGCAGACCCTACCATTTCGCTGTAGCCAGCTCACAACACTACGAAAGCACTGGAGGTCACCACACAATGTATTTGGGCCATATCTGCATATACATAGTGCTTATTCAAAATACAATGTACATACAAGTACAGTGCTAAGGTATGAGGAGCCACTAACTCAACATGGTGCCAGACTGCAGCACTGCTGGCCATACGTGCACAGTACAGTACATGTACATGTACATACTGGCACGCAAACACAGTGCATAATAATGGGGATGGGGGGCCCCTGTTCCCTGGCTTCCCACACTGGGCAGTTCAGAGGGGATAATCTCTTTAAAGAAAGCAATGGGCTGGCCCATTCAACTGTGGGGGTGGTTGAGATGTGTGGCAGGAGGAAATCAACAAGGCCAGGATATTAAAGTGGGTAGACCAACAACAAAACACAGAGAGAAATTGACACAGCTGCATACTGAGTGCACACACATCTGTGAAACATCTTGACCAACAAACAGGATGCAGCTTTGTTGAAGTCAGTCTCATCATGGACGTAGAAACAGACATGTAATGCTGAGAGGATGTACATATAGATGTACATTGTACATGCACTAGTAAAACCAGAAAGATGGTATTGGTTAAATGCTGACATTGATTTACACAGACGGTCATTTACCGTCCATACACAACAACATTTTTTTAAATTACAAAAAATTACACGGGCCCACTGTCCATCGCATATGAGAGAAATGTACCAATACGCATATGCAGTATGTTTACAATGAACAAAATGCAAAACACAAACAATGCACTTCCTTCTTGTTATGGGAATAACAGACTTTCAAACAGAGTGAAATCAGCATGGCTTAAAAATTTTAAGGCCTGGGACTTTGATCCTAGCAGAACCCTTCTCACAGCCAACCTATCCCCCCCCCCAGAAAAAAAATAATCTTACCAGGATACACTCTACGTAAGTGTTTCATGCAATTATACGTATATAATAATAATTATATTTCATTATTTATTATTAATAATATATTATTAATTTTGATGATAAAAGTAAAACCCGGATAAAAATCCATTTCTTGGCTGTGCAGAGAAAATCAAAAGCAGCAGAAATTACACCTGCAATCTCTATATAACTCTGTACCACAATTTTCCAACAACTCCATTCAAGACACGTTTAAGGCATCTTAATTTCATTAGAACTTTGCGAAACAAGGAAAAGTATTGTCTGTGCTCGTTGACAAATTGTGCAGACAGATAAGCCATTTCTTGACTTACATGTATACTAAAACTGCGCTTTATGAGCAGTTGCATAAACAGTCAAGCCAAGAGTGAAGACTCTATCCAGAATGCATAAGTGAGGTCAAGTTTAACAGGTGTCCTCGACTGGCCGAACTAAGGGAAGTAATAGATGCAACTATGCACAATGGAAGTTTGGTATGCGCCCATGCAACACTTTGACCAGTCAATTTTCAAACATGCGCAAGATTTTTCTTTTTTCTTGAAATCTCAATCTACTGGTTTTTTGGAGAACATCTTACCTTGGTCAAATCTGAAATGGTTCCACCGGGGGGGGGGGAGGCAGGGAAAGAGCCAACAATCTATGGAAAGCCTACTAGGACTATTCAATCCAACAATTTGTGATGAGGCTTTTCCCCCAGGCATGCAGTTGTTTCACGTTGTTCACAACAACAGTACATCGTACACAAATGAAGTTTCACACAACCACCTCCTAGCGAATTAATGTGACCTCAAAATTTGAATACACTTGAGGTCAAATCAGTATTCAAATTTGAATAAACTTTGGAATCAAACTTTTATCCGATAAAGCACCAATCTGTCCCCTGTTCAGTCTATACTATTAAAAGTGTACACAAAACATTAACAGGTGCATGTACCTCCCTTATCAGCGTCACCCAGCTCTAACTTAATTAAATATGGCTTAAAGAGATGCACACTGAACTCACTGGGATTAAACCCAGAAACAGAGAAAAAAAAATCAGTAAGAGTAACACCAGGGATAACATGGACCACAACATGGACCTGTACTGTTTAGAGTATCACTGCTCTCAGTCACTACCATGGTCTGCACTCAGCAGGTACTGGTACACGTGTAAAGGAATCGTGGGAATGAGAAGTACAGTAGGCTGTCTGCATCCCAAAGTATCACCCCCTTACACGGTTTGAGAGAAAATAAAAAACCAAAACCGAATACAAAACCAAAACCAAACCCCTAAACCACACCCCAACCCAACCAAATCCCAAAAAACCCAACCCAACCGCAACCCCAACCAACCCAACCCACCCCCAAACAACCCAACCCAACAAACCCAACCCAACCTACCCAAAAAACCCAACCCCAACCCACCCAAAAAACCCAATCCAACCCAACCCACCCAAAAACCCAACCAAACCCAACCCCACCCAAGTCAACCAACTCAACCAAACCCAAAAAATGCAACCCAACCTAACCTTACCCAATCCAACCCAAGTCAACCAACCCAACCTGAACCCAACCCAACCCCCGAAACCCAACCCAATGCAACCCAATCCAACCCCAAGCAAAACTCCAACCCAACCCCAAAAAACCAAACCAAAATAAACAAAAACAAGAGTGCCCTCCTTGCCCCTGCCCCCTAAGAGTAGGACCAAAGTTGAAAGACATTTCTGTTGAATATCCACCTTCAAGTCAAAAATCTCCCCATCCTTTTTTTGATCTCTCCCCCAGGTAGAAGGCTGGTGGGGTGCATTTTGGCAAAGCATGACCAACAACCACCTTCAATAGTTGTTTCCTTCAGTAAACAACTTCACCAGTTTTAATTACGCAAGAACCATGTGTGATGATGTACAAGTAACCCCAACACTGATTAACCCTAACCCTCCTCAATATTCCAACAGGTGAAGGATTGAGGAAGGTTAGGGTTAACATATGGAGAAACAATTGAACCAATTTGAGGTTCATAACCACCAAAAAGGTGCCCCTGGTTCAGGTATCTTACATTACATGTGCAGCACCTGAGTACATCTACAAGTATGTGTACTTCCATCTACAACTGTCCTAGCCTTTTTCCTTTTGGCTCTAGACTTTTCTGTCAGTCGACAGCACAACTGATGTTTCTTCCACTCAACAACAAAGCTATCATTTCTCCCCCATATGGTCAATGTGTAACTTCTCGTTCTTTTGACCAGCATCAGGATCCTTACTGCAAGAAATAAAATGCCTGAAATCAAACGGAAGTGATTTCTCACACCAAGTAAAAACTCAAACTAATTAACGTTTATCAACAACTGTCCAAACCCCCACTTTCTGAAAGCGTCCAGTTTCTCTTTCTTTTTTTCATCAGCACGTTGGAGGCTAGGAGACTTAACGACGGGAAGAAAAGCTGGTATGCCTGTACATTGGCAACTTCCATCATTCATAGAGTCATACATCATCTAGGAAACAGGGAAAAATCAACAAGGAACAATGGAGCCCGCTGCTTGAGAGATGCATTTTTTGTCTCTTTAATATCAACTGGGCACCAACTGGGCAGTCATACTGCTACCAACCCTCAGATGATTTCCCCCATGAGGCGTTTAGAAATTTTCCGCGCCCTTTTCAAAAAGGTGCTGGTATCTCCAACCTCTACAGTCCAGGCTTTAGTCTAGGATTACTGAACACTTCAGGAATTATGGAATAAATCGCGAGCAAAGGAAAAAAGGGGGGAAAAAAGAATAACAGAAAAAAAAAGCCTGCAGCTGGGGACATTAAATATTTACACATGGCGGGCAAAATTAATAGCAAGGTTTCAGCCCTTCTCTCTCTCTCCCCTTCTCTCTCCAGCAAGCGAGCTCATCAAGGCAGAGGGAGCCGTAATCTAGACACAACCGTTGGCTCAGGGAACAAAGGCTTGCTCAGGATGTACAAAGACCGACAAAATTATTTGATAATTGTTCAGAAAAAAATGTGGAAATTTAATGAACAGTTGATGGGGAAAAGAGTGAAATTTAATCAACAGTTGATGGAAGGAGTGAATCATATGTACATGTATGATGCACCCATGATTAGAAGTCTTCATAAAAACCACAGCATTGTGTTGTCACACTGAATTTTCAAAATGCATGGCTTTGTGGTGATAAGTTCGGGGAAAAATGGAAAATAGCACACATGTAAACAAAACCTCAACTACAGTAACAAAATTTCATTGCTTCACAATTATTATGATTTGACAAGAATATCAAGCCACCTCACTTGTATTTTTCTTGTTACTCAACATTAACATGAACATGAATGGCTATCTTTCAGTTGAAATTTACATTACAAATACTGTTATCTTTTAGTTAAAATCTGTATTACATTTTTGTTGTTCGTTCAGAAATATGGTAGATCATGTGCGATTGAATGTTATATTAACAAAAGATCCTCAATTTAACGTTAGATCTGCGATGATGTACTTCTTTAGTTGTAGCATATCAAGTTTTCCAATCTTGAACAAAAACTGAAGGCGATGGGGAAACGTGTCATTATTGTTAAAGGTACGGAAACTACGGAAACCTTATCATTGATGAAACATTTTCTTTCAAAGAATTTCACTACAGTGGTGAGCAGGACAAACTCCCAGTCTCAGTACAAAATGGCATGAACATTTGCATGACAATTGTGTGCTGCACAGCAGGAACAAAGCTGACCACCCCTGCTAATGGCACAGTGGAACAGCTTCCATTATTCTGCTTTGAATATATGCAAATACTCTGTGAGAGATTTACATATGACTGGCTCATCCCAGCTGGTAAAGCCCGGGGTATTTGATCCCATACTATAGTCTCTGGTGGACAATACCGCCCTCATGCCTCATTACCTGCATTGTGGGGTTGGGGCCCTGGAAACACTGGGGAAATGTTTATTTTCAATTAGTGTGGTTTTCCAGGTGAAGTCTCAGTCAAAGGTTTTTTTTCCTTTGTTTGGAAATTACAATTATCAAGCCCGTCCCCTTTTTTTCTGGTTCGCTCATTTTCAAGCAATTTCAAATACAACTGAAAATTTGTAAATTAAATATCACTTACATGTACTGGATGCAGCCAAGTCTGTTACACGAATTTTCATTGGACGTGTGAACTTTTCATGCTGATAATCTTATTTCCAATGAACCCATTAGGTTAGTGTAGAACAACTTTTTCCACCTCCATGTACCGGTACATTTTAATTTCATCGACAAATAATCGTTTCCTTAGGCACACAAATCTGAACAACAGTTAAAAAAAAGTGTCAGTAACCATTTTCAACATTTGAGCAGTTTATACCACATTCATA